GCATAATTGAAGTCGTACTGTGCAGGTCCCTATAGACAGAAAAATAGACAATGATAAGCTTATAATAAATTCCACATTCCTGAAATGTAATACACAAACGAATATGCCTATATGTGTATATATATTTATATATATACATATATTTTATATGTGTGTATATATATATGCATATATACGTATCTGTGTATGTACGATTGTATGAATGTATTTATATACAGTACACAAACGTTTATATGTATGCATACAAACATACATATACATATATGTATATATATTGTGTGTATAGCGTTCACATTCATGTAACTTTATAGAGAATATCTCAGATGCAAGAGCAACACATTATAAAATCCAGCACATTCATAGACGTTCTTTTTTTCTACATATAGAGTTCACATCACTAAACCACACCGTAGGAGCGGGAGCAGGAGCGTTGTAGGAAGGAGCAGGAGGACTGTATCTTGGGATTGACTCGGCGAGGATGGTCACCGACAGGGCGAGCAAAACGGCGATCTGCAGACGCCCCAAGCCATTAAGATTAGCCATGACATATAATAAGAACAAACAACATAAATGGAGTTCGATCTAGTACTTAAAAGCTGACAATTTATAGCATTTGCCGCTCGCATTGATAGTAAGCATGTAGAGACCTTACCCTGAGAGTCATGGTGACGGAACTGAGAACCAAGAAGGAATGATGCTGTTCAAAGCCTGCGTGAACCTTTTTATACTACCTGCTGCTCGCGTGCTTTGTGCTTTGTAAAGTCATCGGCGCCAGGTTCGAATCATTGTTGTTATTATCAAGATATCATTTGCCTTCTTTCAACTTATTCCTTATATTTTCCTTTTTTATCATGGTGTTGTTATCTCTGCTGCTGTTTCTTTTTTTTTTTTGGCGCTTGATTTTTTTCCTCCCTTTTAACATTAATTTCAACGTTGCTAATGCTACTTATTTTCTCATATCATTATTGTGATTGCTATTTTTATCTATCTATATTGTCATGCGTGATAAAACTAGTGGTAAGATCACTAACAATAACATCAATAATGACAGTGATGATAAATAACAATGATGATAACTGCAATAGCAATACAAAAATGAAAATTTAATAATAAGGATAATTATGATGATAGTTTTGATGATGATGATGATGGCAACAATGATGTTAGTAATAACAATAATGATTATTAGTGTCTCAGCAAATATTGCTGCTATTATAATCATCGTTATTATCACAATATTTTATTGTTATTATCGTTAATATTATCACTTGCTGTTGAAGTACTTGCACTGTATTTGATATCATGGTTATTATTATTTTCAGTGTATTACTTACTGTAATAGTAGTTGTCGTTATAATTGTTATCATTGTTATTGATATGATAATAATAGTTATTATAATTATTATTATTGTTATTATTGTTGTTGTTATAATATTCTTATTATTTGTTTATTATTGTGGTCATCATTACTGTTATCATTATTTTTTATTGTTGTTATTTCATCATTATCATCATCATTATCATCGTTGTCTTTATCATTTATGTACATTATTATTGTTAAAGCTGTTATCATTTTTGCTGCCATTACTACTATTCCTGTTATTGGTATTATCATAATGATTATTAAGATATTATTATTGGTATTGCTTTTATTACTATTCTATTCATTATTACTGTAATTACTACCATTATCATTATTATCATTAGTAGTAATTCATTATTATTATTATTTTTATGGGCCTTATTTTGATTAACATTATTATTATCATTCCTATTACTATTACTATTATTGCTATTATTGTATATCGTTATTATTATTGTTATTATTGTATGTCATAATTATTATTGTTATCATCATCATCATCATTATCACTATTGATACTACTAATACTACTGCTTCTGCTACCGCTAACACTGATAATACGATTTCGACTAATATTACTTTTTATCATAAATACTACGGTTATGTTTATTGATTTTTTCAAACCCACTGCTGATGCATATCGACAGTTAGGATTGATAAAAATGATGGTTATGATGATGATAAAGAGATAAGATCAGACAATTTCGTGTACAATGCAATAATAACCTAAGTATATATGTGCGTGTACATACATATATACATACCTAAATACACATACATATATGTGTATGGAAGTATGTATGTATATATAAACGCGCGCGTGTGTGTGTGTGCGCGCAGGCGTATGTGTGTGTGGATAAAGGTATATATGAATGTATGTAAATATATGTAAATATATAATACACATGTGTGTATATATATATTCCCTCATATATATATTATATATATACACACAAGCGTGTGTGTGTTTGCATTTATGTATATGCAAATATACATTGAGATATACATATGTGGGTATAGCTATAGATTCAGCATGTATACGATTATGTATGTGTAGAGCAAAATTATGTGTGTATATAGATGTGTGAATATATATCATATCACAGACACACACACACACACACACACACACACAAATACACACACACACACACACACACACACACACACACACACATATATATATATATATATATATATATATATATATATTTATATATAGCATATTAATTTGTGTAATTCGAAAGTTAAATGACGAAAGGACTGATCACCAACGCATCAACTATTAGTTCTTTTATTGCCTAAAACAATTAATACATTTCTAGAGAATTTTAGCCATATGCAGGGGTTGGGGCAGGTTGGTAGGACCGGGCAGGTTGATGGGCAGGGTACTGTGCCTCTCCCTGGTAAGTTACTTCAGCTACGAAACCGGAGTCGCCGTTCACAGTGTAGGTTACCCTCTGCAGACGACCATCGGGGAGCTGGACGTAGTAGGTACCCTGAGTGTCGTATCCATTTCGGCCTTCTTGGTGACCGAAGTCGTTTCCGAAGTTATCTTGCACAGCATAATTGAAGTCGTACTGCGCAGGACCCTGAAATAGACGAAACCATTCGAGCCTTATATTATGGATTTTTACTAAAATTAATGTATTGTCACATTCCATCTTACACAAAATATACTGTTAGTGAAACTATGCAAGAAAACCTACCGAAGGAGCGGGTGCAGGGGCGTTGTAGGAGGGGACAGGAGGACGGTATCTTGGCCCTGAGTCTGCAAAGGTGCCAACCAGCAGGGCGAAGATTACGGCGATCTGTAGTCAACATAACATGACGTATAAGAAGAATAACTCACATTCTATCGGCATTTCTGAAAATTGCCTTTATTACATATTGTTCATTATGGAATTTCCCATTTCTGCTTCAAGAAGTTTACTAACTTACCCTGAAAGTCATCTTTATGGATTTCGAAGACGAGAAGAGAATGATGTTCTCACCGGCAGCTCGTGGTTTATATACACAAAGCTCCGCCCACTCCGCCCAGTGAGGTCATCGTTACTCAACTGTCAGCTTCATCACTGTTATTAAATAACGATATGCCGTTTGTGGGAAATTGCTGCTAGTGATTCTGTGTTTCTACTTGATAGCATTGCAATAAAAAGATGCTGTCATTGCCTTATGAATGCAACTAGTCTTAGTACATTTTTTTATTTATTTTAGCTTTGTAATGATTATCATTATAATGTCATTATTGCACCGTAATCCTCTGCACCCAGTGTAATTGTTATCACTTTTTCACTGCCATAAGCATCAAGACCACTCTAGTGCGGTGATTGTTACTGCCAGCTTCATTATCATATTGTTTATCATACGAAATTTCCTATTATTTTCTGCATCCATAAATGTTATTAAATTTATACATTTTACTTTTGTACAAACAGGAAAACGTCTGGGGAAAGATCTCATTTCCAAAAGTTATTTATGTTGTGGGTTTTTTATTTCATTCTATCTTTTGATTACAAAATCCTTAAAGCAAAAATATACGATTACAGAATACACACCCGCATTCGCTAATTTGCAAGTCAATGTGCATAACAGGATGAGCTCAGTTTTTGAAGAGAGAAGCGGCAAAACGTGAGTAAAGATATTTTTTTCTTCCAAAATCAAAAAAATATATATACTCTCTTGCGTGAGCTCCATTTCAAAACCAGAAAAGCGTGAATTTTACCTTTTGCTTTCACTCTTTGTTTTTTTTTATTTTTCTTTCCCTTTTTTGAGTTACGGGTCATAATAATAATGATGATGACAACAACACATGTGCGATTAATATATAAGATCCGTCCTGATGATGCCAGTAGTAGTAGTATAATGATTAATGATAATAAGGATTTTATAAACAACAATATTCGTAAATATTAGTAAATAATAAGTTGGTGCATGACAGTAATAAGCAAATGTGGTAATAGTATCGACCGCGTATGGTGATATTACATGGTTAAATAATAAAGGAAACAAATCGTATTAGTAACAATGGTAATGATATAAAAAACATATAATACACAAGAAGGTAAAATGTAACAAGAACTCTAGCACAAATATCAACAAAATAATCATCAGCGTCATCATTATTATCATCATTATCGTTATCATATCATCATGATCATAATCAATATCCTGAGAACAATTACAGTATTAGTAGTAACAGAAGTAGTATTAGTATTAATAATAATGATAATCATTGTATTTTGTTAATGTTCCTAGCATAGGAGAAAATTGTTTAGAAAAAGTCTGATAATGATCTCTGTTCATACGCACCAATAAATACCGTTTTAAGCTCATTATGAATGATTACACATGCTTACGTGTTTCCGTGTACGATTCAGTATTGTTACTAGATGCATGATCGTTTCTAGTTTTGTAAGGATAAAATATATTCGAAGTCTTCATCCTTACTGGATAAAATCAAATACACAGACAACTTTATAATATTTTATTAATCTAGAGCATACA